TATTTATGAATTGAACTCAACCAAATATTCGGTAGGTGAACCCAATGTCCTAGGTTTCCTTTGTCTAATTATTTGGATTAATATTATTTGTTTTTATTTTATTTAGTTTAGTTTTAAATTTTATAACTCTGAGATCATCATTTATCTAGATAATAATAGGAGTAATTTATACCTGGTAATTAGTATTCCTTCTCTGTGGGATCGACCCTGCTTTCTGCTTTACTACTAGTAATTGTATTAAGTAGGTAATTATTATTTGACTAGTGTGACGACGGCTTGTCAGATGTAATAATGGTGAATACATGTTTTGTTATACGAAAACATCCACAAATAAAGAATGCATTTTTAGCTTATACTTTAAAAATCATTTACTTAAATGTTTGTCTTAAAATAATTGTAGTATACTATATTGTTTATAAATTGGTGGAAAAATTCAGATACAATGTTACAACCAAAGAAGGACAGTATTATGCAAGGAAAAACAACAACAAATAAATAAGCTGTATTATTATTTTAATTACTTTAAACACCTCGCGGCTATTTGTTCATTTTCAGTCCAAACACGTGGCAACGTGTAAAATCTTGCATCACAGAATACTCTGTCCCTGGAAAAAGCGCATCAACGGGTCTTCATTTTTTATACATCTTCTTCTTCTCTCCCTTCTCCATTTCCAGACCACCATAACCTCAAAATTTGTCCACAAATGAGGAAACCCACAAATCCAATTCAATCGCCAGTCCATGCTCCATCCTCTTCCTTTCCACTCCTCAAACTTCAGCTGCAAAAGCAGCAATCTTTCCACTTCAAGCACAGCAGAATAGCTCTGAGAGTATTCTGTTCATCACAACATTCACCGACTCCACAGCCTTCTTCTTCTTCTTCTTCAAATGAAACTTTGACAACGACCCTTATCTCAATTTTGACTGCAATTCCAAATTGGGCTGATGAAATCAAAGAAAGGGGTATGCGGAAGAAAAGGTCTTTATACAACCATGAAAAATGGGTTGAACACAGGAGTTCTTTGAGGCATATTAGGCATTTGAGTTCAAGTTTGGGTTCCAGGGTTATTCTATCTTTGGTCCCACCTGTTTTGGCCTTTACTACTGTGGCAGTGTTGATAGCAAGTTACAATTCGGCGGTCATTTTGCATTGGTTGCCTGAATTTTTCCCTGTTCTAAGGGCTTCCTCGCTGCCTTACCAGCTTACAGCCCCTGCTTTGGCGTTGTTGTTGGTGTTTAGGACTGAAGCATCTTATTCTAGGTATGAAGAAGGAAGGAAGGCTTGGATTAAAGTGATTTCGGGTACCAATGACTTCGCTAGGCAAGTGATTGCTACTGTGGTTTGCTCAACGGATTCGTTTCTTAAAAGGGCTCTCTTGCAATACATCATGGCTTTTCCAGTGGCGCTTAAGGTCTGCAATCTATCTTGCCTAATCCAATGGTTTTTCTTTTATATAGAGCAGGATATTATTGGCATTAGCCCAAAATTATGCATAAGCTATTGATGTTCTGTTTGTTTTGCTGTTTGAATTAGGAAACATTTATCGTGATAAACTTAGAGGGTCAATTTCTGTTTGTTTCCCGGGAATGTGACTTGACAATCTAGGTAATGGGATGTCTTAATGCAGTGCCACTTGATTCATGGCTCAGATGTTTCACAAGACCTTCGAGGTTTGCTTGATGATGATGATTTAGCTATCGTTCTTCGTACAAAGGACCGTCCTCGTTGCCTCATTGAGTTCATCTCTCAATCTATTAAGCTGCTAAATATGGATGAGACAAAGCGGAATATGTTGGTAAGTACTAATTTGGCAAGCTTATTCGTGTTGGGAATGATTGTATATAGTTGCAAAGTTATCCTTATACATCTGGTATCTGCTCTTTGATGTAGGAGACGAAAATTTCTTGTTTTCATGAAGGCATCGGCATTTGTGAAGAACTCATGGGTATTCCTATCCCTCTCTCCTATACACGATTGACCTCAAGGTTTCTGGTCCTGTGGCATCTTACTCTTCCCATCATTCTTTGGGATGATTGCAACTGGATCGTAGTTCCTGCTACTTTCATCAGCGCTGCTTCATTATTCTGTATTGAAGAGGTGAATTTCTCATTCCTCTCTAGACTTTTCATTGATTCAAATACACAGCAAGGCACAATACGCTTCAATATGCGCTAGAAATATTTTGGGAGGACTATTAGTATTTGTGAACTACTGTAGTTATATTTGTATCAGTGCCATGCTCCAAGCTGTGATATGTAAGGATGTTCTGCATTTCCTTGCATAGTGTTCAATAAATTTCTTACTCCTTTCAGGTTTCATCACTGAAATCCTTTGAAGCTCTTGATTCTTTTGTTCCTTGCTAACTGATCTAAACTAAACAAGAAATAGAGAGAAACTAAACTTCACCTCTCTATGGACAACATCCACAAATATAATCTGACTATATCTGCTTGTGGAGACTCCATAGTGCTCTAGTTATTTGGACCAGTATCATGTGGTTCTATAACACGAACTTGTGGATGTTACAGGTTGGTGTTCTTATTGAGGAGCCATTTTCAATGCTTGCGCTTGATGAGCTCTGTGATCTCGTCCATAGCAGCATTAGCGAAGCAATGGGAAATGAGGAGATGATCCAAGTGCAGGTGAATGCAAAAAGACAAAGTCACTACAACAAGCGCCCTACAAATGGTTGGCCAGCATCTCGAGAATACAGATGATAAGGCATCTGTTACATGCAATGTGAATCCTTGAAGATTATCCTTAGCTGAAGGATCCGCATTAGCTAGTTGACAGATGGCTTCACAGTACAAAAACTGAGATATAGATGTAAATATAAGGCTAGGTTAGAAGTTCAGGTACCAGTTTGCAATTAGTTGAATCAGGTGTAAAGCCTCAGAAGTCCAGTACTTTCTACTTCCTCCCAGATCTGTGGAAGGAATGTTCTTGCTGGCACTCTAGTTTATCTTTACATCCCAAAATGCAGCTGTATTTAACTTCAAAGCATCTAACTTGAGATTTAGTTTTATCAAAGGAGTCGTTAAATTTCATGTACTATCATTTATGGCTGTAATGGTGCAAGGAGTGTTTCCTATCATTCCTATGCATCATGTAGAGGAAAAGATGAAGTTTAAAACCTAGGGGATCTTCCTATACCTACGTAGACATGGAAATAGACTCCGCATATCTGCTTGTGAAAACTCCTGATTTCAGATGAGTATCATGCAAGAGAATAATAAGAAATAGTGGATGTCACAGGTTGGTGTTCTTATAGAGGAGCCATTTTCAAGCACTAAATGAGCTCTGTGATCTTGACCATAGCATCATTCGCAAAGCAATGGGAAATGAGGAGATAACTGCTGTTACGTTCGATTTGGCGTCATAGATGACAGATAGCTTTCCCAGCATGAATACTGAGCAATAGATGTAAATATAAGGATAGGTGAAAAGTTTCATATGCTAGTTTGCGGTTGGCAGATCAAGTCTAAAGCAATGAAAGTCCAATATTTAAATACTTCCTCCCCGGATTTGTGGATTGAATGTTCTTGTTGGCACTCAATACTAACTATTTTATCAGCCTAAAATGCAACAGAGCATTCTTTAATCTTCAAAGTGTCCGACTCTAGATACAGTTTGATGATTATCAAGTGAATTATCAACCTCAATTCAGACTGTGAAGTAGCATAAGCACGACACTTAATGCTACAGTTGCGCGTTAAGTGTTTTTCTTATGCATCATGTGAAGGAAAGTTGGAGTTCATATGCCTTTATAACCTAGAATCATCGGTTATTATGCACGGATCACTCCAGTTAAATTTTTAGTATATCATTCCGTCCAAGATGGAAGAAAGAGGGCCCGACGATTTGATATTGGGACTCTACTGTATGAGCCAAGCAGTATAACTGGCTACACTACCCAGACCTCTTATTGATTGTGATTTCAATTGGAGACCTTTCAATTAAGATAAGATGCATGAAGAAGGATGTGAGCTCGGATTAAGATAAAAGGACGTGATTTCCAGCTTACTACATTCAACAATATTTGATTTTACACATCAGGCAACTACATTGTCTTGTCGTTGAAACCAAAAGACATTTGAAGCCAACATGCCGGAGAATACATCAAACACTTGTACACTTCAAATATGGTATGGTAGAGGAAAGACAACCTTCCTCAAAATACAATCCAGGCATCCCTCCCCCAAAGCAACCAAAGCAGCACTCAACTAGTCATCCAAGCTATCCACACAAGTACAGAATGCATCCCCCTCTGTGCATACAAGTATATTCCAATCGATTCATGTTTTCCACTAATTGCAAAACAGCACACTGTAGAGTAACCTCATGTGTGTGTATACAACCTCTGGGTACATTTAAACAACCACTTCAAGAACACACACCATTCCACTACACCATCACAAAAAACTTTACATAATTGTTTACCACAATCAAAAGCAGCTGATGAATAATCAACAGATCAAATGACAAAAAGATACCAATCATTGTGAATTAAATAGTTCAGTTACGCATTAAATAGCAGCAACGAGAATAGTTCAACAAAGAACAGACATTCTGTCATTTATTTATAATAAATACATTAAAAGCATAAAAAAGTCTCTAGAAATGTATATATAAATAGTTCAACACATCACCCACGCCACCCACTGGCAGCAACAGATTAAGGTGCTCCTTGGAACGGATTCCACCTTCAAGTTCTCCGCATCATCATATTAAAGGGGCTCGTTGAAGTCGCTTCATCTTTCAAGCACTTGTTGATGTATTCGCTGAAGGAGTTAAGTCCTAGTCTCTTACGGTATCTGAGATACCGACTACAGCAAGGCAATGCACACGGCTTCTTATCCCGTGTAAGAACTGGCTCACAATCACCGGGCAAGCAAAACCTCACTTCATTATGCTTCACGGATAGATTAATCTGCTTCGCCATTAGAGCAAGATCAACACGACCACAACCCTCACCCTTCTGATCCTCCTCCTCCTTAACCTTGTCGTCCACATCCACGCCCTCAACCTCACCCTCATGATCCTTGTCCTCCTTCTGATCCTTCTCCTCCTCCTCCTTAACCTTGTCGTCCACATCCACGCCCTCAACCTCACCCTCATAATCCTTGTCCTCCTTCTGATCCTTCTCCTCCTCCTGAACCTTGTCCTCCACACGACCCACACCCACACCACCCGCCTTAGTGTCACTTTTACGATCCCTGTCCTCCTTCTGATCCTTGTCCTCCGCACTAATTCTCACACCTCTATTCAAACGCAAACTCCTTGCATAAGGACGCCAACTGAAAGGACCATATCTACAACGAAAAGGAGGGGGCTCACGAACAATACAGTAACCAACAAAGCTTTTCTCAATGTTGGGATCGTCAACTGAAGCAGCAGTGAAGGTAATATGATAATTTGTATGATAAAATGTAGCCTCAAAAGAAACGTTCTTAACATTCCTCCCATCATACCTATATTTCTGCAAACATCCATTCATACATTAGAAAGTTAGGTATTTCTGCAAACATCCATTCATACATTAGAAAGTTAATGATTACAGCAATACCAGTGTTATTGTAAAGTCTCAATGAGAATGAATAAATCAGGTTCAGGCAATAAAATAACAAAAAAAAAAAAAACGGACTACTGGCAAAAAAAAGCATCCTTAACTACAAATAGTACTTTTTTGAACCAAAGCATTGATCAATGCAGGGTAAATTTAATACTAAGGTACCTGCTCACGGTTGGAGTTGTACCAATGAATGCAATCCTGGATGAGCTCATTGATCTCAGCTCTGATTGTGAGGTTATCATCTTCTCTGAATTTACAAGGTAAGATTGGTGCATTGAGGTTATTATCAGGAACCCATTTGACGCCAAAACCCTGGAAGAAAGAACCTTCAATTAGCAATCATGTAAAAAGGAAAAGGGGTAAGAGTAATTAACATCATTATTAAAAGTAATAGAGTACAAACCCGGGTGTAGTGCATCATCTTGTAGTACTTTATCCATTTATCTATTTCAGATCCGGTATCCGACGGCATCTCCGACTCCGACAATCCCACATCAAATTTTGCCTTGATGGAGGCTGTCGTTACGGCTTCTTTCTTGTCGGCTTCTTCTTTTCTGCGTTCTAAATACACGAAATATTCTTCGCTCGTCAATCCCTCCATCGGTTCCGTTTTTGGTGGCTCGGCGGTTAATACCTTGACGACTCTCTCGACGGCGGCTAACTCGACGGTAGGTACGGCAGATGCTTTTTTAAGTACGGCCTCCAGCGCGGCTACCCGTTCCCTGTCTAATCGTTCGGCTAATCTAGCGGCTGCTAAATTGTCGGCTGCCGCGCTGGCGGCTATCTCGGCTTCGGCAACCGCAGCGGCCGATGCCTTGAGGATGGCGGACGCCTTGGCCAATGCTTCATCGACGAAGGCTGCCCTGGCGGCGGCGGCTTCTTTGTCCGATGCTTCATCGTCGACGGCTGCCTTGGCAGCGGCGGCTGCTTCGGCCGATGCTTCATCGTCGACGGCTGCCTTGGCAGCGGCGGCTGCTTCGGCCGATGCTTCATCGTCGACGGTCGCCTCGTCGCGGGCTTTCTTAGGGTGGCAGATGTATTGGTGATGCAGACAGCCCCTCCATTCGGTAAAGCCGCAGTCAGGACAACGGATATCTTTATAGTGATAACTGATCTTACCTTTTCCTTGGGAAACCCTAATTTTAGATGTTTCGCCGGAATTTGACATCGAACGATGATATGATGAAATATAAGAACTTAAATTGGCACTGGCTTGTATTTACAGACCATGGATGAGCAAACAATGATCTTATGGTACCAAAAGTTGGGCCAAAAGCCCATTTGGAGTACAATTACGCTATAAGAATATTTCGGCCACGAGTCAGTTTCGAGGTGTATATAAATTTTTTTTTAAAAAAAAAAAAAACAGAAAGAAAGTTTCGATATTCTGTCATCGAAATATACTCTACGATATGATATATGTATTTAATACACGATTGTATTATTTTGTTATTTTTATGTATTTTGAGAGTTATCTTAAAATTTTGAAATTATTAGACTATTTTTATTAAAAACTAACGGAAATTCTTTTATGTTCAACGAAAATTAACCCAATTGGATGTCATTGACAAAAATTTCAAACAGACAAGACAAAATTATCCAATAAAAATTTAAGAAGGTAGAATTGACGATTAGGCCAACGTATAACCGTTGTTTTTTCCCATCAATGATGCGAAGAAACAATCAATGAAAATCACATCAATTCGTCTGAAATCGGAAAAATACCAATCATTTCTAAAGTTTTGAGCTCATTGTCAAATTCTACACCACAGATTTTCGGTTAACCAAATTTGTCTTTAATATTTGTAATTTTTGCCAATTTCGTACCATTAACCCAATTTTTGTTAAACTTTTCGTTAATTTTTAACTAAAACGGACTTATAGTTTCAAAAAATTGTAAAAATAACACCTAAAATATGTAAAAATAATTTTAAAAATTCCCTTTTGACTTTTTATTCATTTTTTAATAAAGACAAATGAATAAATATAAAAAATAATTTTAAAAATTCCCTTTTGACTTTTTATTCATTTTTTATATTTATTCATTTGTCTTTATTACTTTTCATAACCATCAAAATACACCATTTGATCATAAAAAATAATTATTTGTTTCAAACTAAATTTTCACCTACAAAAAAACATGTGAGTTGGGTCCGAGAATAATTTTCTCTTTTTATATTTTTTTAAATTTTAAAATTTTTTTTTGTTTTATTATTTTTTTCTTATACTTATGATTTGTATATGTTGGTACAAATATTATTACTAAATTTTAATAATTCATTTACCTTTTTATTTCATCGATTACAAAAAAAATTTAAAATAAATAAACAAGAAAGAAAAAATCGAGTTCAAATAAGCATGAAATTAATATTTTATTGATATAAAATAAAAAGAAAAGGAAATCAAAAAAAATGCTAATATTCTTTCTTTCTTGATTTCTTGTAATCCATAGGTAAGCTACAATATAAATTTTATTCAATTTAACCTAAAATAATTTTTTTTGCTCGTTGTAGTAAAAATAATATGGGAACTAGACAATTATTTGAAACAGGAAAAAGTGTTAATTTAATTAGTCAACAATGATGAATTTCTATAAATATGGTCAACACAATATTTTTATTCTTTTTTATTAATTACCATTCCTACTTTTCCAATCGCTAAACTATATAAGCAATCATTATATTTCATGACAGCAATAAATAGGTGTATTATTTAACAGTGCTTTTTAAAAAATATTTTTTAACCCTCATTGTTGAAATACAAAAAGGTAAATTGTTTCTTGGAATTTAGTAATTATATTAGTACCAACATATACAAGTTAAGAAGTATAAGAAGAAATCATAAAAAAAAAAATTTAAAAAATTAAATTTAAAAAAGTAATAAATTAAAATAAAAAACCACCCCTGGATCTGACTCGCATGTGTTGCATATGAAAAATAGATAATTTGAAAATAAATAATTTTTTTATAGATCACATAGTATATTTTGGTGGTTATGAATAGTAGTAAGAAAAATAAAATAAAATAGAAAAAAATAAAAAATAAAAAGTGATTATTTTGTTATTTTTAAATTTATGGTGTAATTTTTAAATTTTTTTGAAACTATTGGGGTATTTTTGTTATAAAAAAAACTAAAACCAATCCATTAACTTTAAGGAAATTGAGCCAATTGAAAAAAATTGACTGAAATTTTAAATGTCACGAACGTATTGATTCTGCGGTAGTCAATAGCCTGCGGAACCATCATTTCAAAGAATCAAAAGTCATCCATGCCCCTAGAACAGCTTCAGATCACTACCCGCTCTTCATTTCTTTTCACACTGTAGATACCATCACTTCAATCCCTCAACCTTTCAGATATCTTAATGTGGGAAGCTCATGATAGTTGGAATTCCAGGTTGAGGAGCACTTGGAATCCCTTGCAGACTTACTAGCAAACCAGGATTTCTTGATCAACAAAATAGGTGATGGAAAATTTAACTATTTTAGAAGTCTACACAAAAAAAAAACAAGTTGTTGGCAAGGCTGGGAGGTATCCAGAAAGCTGTAGCTACTTACCCGTCTACAAACCTGACTGATCTTGAAAGAGAGTTACGTATAGATTATGATCAGCTTGTAACACAAGAGGAGATGCTTGATAATGTTAATATTAGCATGATATTTGCGGTGGTTTATGTGTTGTTTTGAATATTATCTATGCTAATATTAGTGTTTTTAATTCTTAATTTGATCTTAGGAAGGATTTGGAACAAAAAGAAGAAAAGTGTTGATTTTGAAGAGATTTTGAAGGTTTTATTGAATCAAGTTTCAAGTTAGAGAAGAAGTGGTTAATTCCCGCGTGGGCACACAAAATCCATGCCAAAATCAATGAAGGAAGCAGGAAATTCCAGCAACAATGTTGTATTCCCGCGTGGGCACGCTGAAATAGGGACTAAAGTTCAAAATTTCCAAAGTTTTGGGGTCAATTTGTAATTTTGGAAACTTCAGGGATCAATTTGCAAATTTTGAAAACTTTAATTGGTCTCTGCGGATTTTGAAGAGGCTGAACGTGGGGATGCCCTAAATTTGCATATAAATAGTCTTTTTCTTATTATTAAGAAGAGGGAGGAGAAGAGGCACAACACAGGGAGCAACAGCTGGAGCTCAGGACAAGGATTTCTCTCCGTTTTCGTCAGTTTTAGCTCTATAATGTCAAACATCAATTCTTGTGTTGTTGATTTCACCATGATTAGCAACTAAACCTTTTTTTTCTAGTTAAAGGATTTTATTGAAGCCTTGATGTTATTCAATTGTGAGATCTAACTGTTTGCTTTTCACCAACGAATTTTGAGTATTTATTTATTCTCTTTGATGTGTATTGATGATTATTTGGCATTATTTGAATAGCTGGTAGCATTCAATTCTCCTAGATAATCTAATTTATTGAACAACAAGGTTTGTTTGTTCCTTAGAAGAGACAATGCAAATAATTACTTGGTAAGTAGTTTACTTGTGTTGTGAGAATAAATAATCAATTTTTAATGAAACAAGGTTTGTTTGTTAGAAATTGAATTGGGTCTTTGCTTGTCAAAAACTGAATCCTAGGAGGTTCCAGGTAGTGTGTTTTGGCTATAGAGTGATTAATGAAGGTTTCTTAGTCACTGGTAGTTAAATAAAAAGACTGAGTTGTTAGGAGGTTCCAATAACGATAACTAATATATTCATCATTTGTTGAGTTAATCTTTGCATCAATGATCAGTTAGATACATCAAGATGGAAATTATTCCTTTGACTAGAGTTGCTCTTATTATTGATTTTCCAAAAGTATCTTTTTATTGCTTGCAAATTATTTTTGTTATTCATTAGTTACAAATCCAAAATCTCTCCCATTTAGTTAACTTTCTTTTGATTAGAAATATTTTCACTTCCTTGCTCCTTGAGGAGACGACTCTACTCATTGCTATACTACTAAATTTGTTAGGAGTAGAATCTTTTATTTTGTTGGTTTGACAATCCACCAAATTTTGGCGCCGTTGCCGGGGAGCACGGTGAAGTGATTTATTTCTCTTTAGAAGTTGTTTTTGTTTTTGCTTTTGTTTATTTTCTCTATTTTGAGATTTTACTTTTGCCATGAGTTCATATGGATATCATCAGTATAACACCTGGGATCCAAATGAGGTAAGACTCTTGTCCATCAGTCAACAACTAGATGAACTAACTTCTTCTGTAGGTCAACTCAAGCAGGTGCAAGCATGTGGTATATGTTCTAAGCGCGATCACACAGCTAATGTTTGTCCAAATTTTCAATATCATCTTCGAGGATATGTGGGTAGCAAAGGAGGATTTTGGGAATCACCACGAACGAGATATGAGCAGAATCCATATACACATTATCCAAGTTTGCAAGATTGCTCAAATTACGACTACAACCCACTACCAATATCACAACAAGTGTATCCACCACCAATACCAACGCCAGAGCCAGGTATGTCTTTAGAGGAAATGATTAGAAATTTGACGATTAATGTGCATGATCTTATACAGGAATCTTAATCTACTTGTGCTATAATTCAAAACTTGGAGAATCAAATGTCCCAGATGGTTGCAGAAGTTAGCAGATTAGAGGCTGAGACATTTCAGATTCCAGATCAAGTTGAGAATTATGGTACAGAGAGTGAATGTACAATGGTGGTGGAAGACACTCAATTCAAGCAAGATGTACTAAAGAGGGAAGAAATAAAGGACTGTAAGAATGAGCGACTAAAGATTGTGATACCCCCTCTTTTTCCTGAAAGGTTGAGAGGACCGATTAAAGAAGAGGTTAAGCCAAATAATGTGGAGATTCTTTCTGAAGAGAATGTTCTAGTAGACGCCACACAGGCGCATGATGAAGAAAGTGTTGAAGATGCAAAGGCAGAAGAAGCAATGAAAAAGGCTTTGGAAAATATTGATAAGGAAAGTGTTGTTGCTATGTATACTGGTCCTACTTATGCAATGTTTTCATCTCTTTTAGAGAGGTTGTTGGAGCCAAAGGAGGAAGAGAATGAGAAAGAAGCCTTAGAGAGCTCTCTCAAAGATAATGAGATTATTTCGGTAAGCAATAATTCCTATAGGACATTTAATTCAGAATTTCATCCAAAATGCAAGATCTTTGGTAGGTTCACTATATTTTGCAATCTTCAACAGGTTCAACTTAGTGAATTTAGTTCGAGTAACTTACCTTGTTCTATATTTGACTTGTTAAAACATGAGCCTTTATCTAAAAGTAATGTGGCTATAAATATTGTTGACGAGTCTCTTGAATTTCCTACTTGTATGTTTGAGAAATCTATAGTGAAAAGTGGTCATTTTGTGTTTCCTGTTACTTTTGATGTGATTGATTTGAACGAAAATTCTGCAATAAAATTGATTTCACTTTTCTTAGGAAGGTCATTTCGAAAAACTGCTAGAATTAAATTAACAAATGGAGTTAAATCTTTAGGTTGGGAAATTGTGAATTTGAATGCTAAGTGTGCTTCACGAGTTAATGTGAATGGCAGTTGTCCTTTTGACTATGTGCCTACAATTTTTGAAAAGTGGAAACCATCAAAAGTTGACTTAAGATCCGTACCTATAGATCTTAAGCATGGATATGGACATTTTCTTAGACCTCCTGAATTTGGGTGGATGATAGATGTCAATTTTGAATTTCATGTTTGTGTTTACGTGTGGAGAGTGTGTAATACTTTTAAAGAGTCATTTAGAGGAGATCATTTTCCACCTTTGTTTGTTGATACAATGCTTGAATATCAGTTTGAGACATATAACCTTGGTTTTGTTGAGACCTATTTAGAGCTGTATCAAGTTCTGATTGTGTGTGGAGCTTTCAAATTTCCACCTTGATACACACATGCTGTGTCTAGCCAAAGACACTAAAGAAAGGCGCTTGTTGGGAGGCAACCCAGTGGTTTAATTTTTGTTATTTGTTTTCTTGAATAAATCGACTAGGTGGTTAAGTTTTTTGTTCCTGATGATCTTGAGATCTATGATTTCTTGATTTTCGTGGTTTTTCTTAATCATTTAATCGACGTAGAGTTAGTTTTTTTTAATGGTTGTTTGAGTGTGACAGCTAGCTTTCGAGGAAAATTCTTCTACTTGGTCAATCCTTTTGATCCAATGCAAAAAGATGTTACTCCCGCTTTACATCAATTTGATTCCTCCACTGCGAATTCCCAAGGAAGTGCCGTTTTTTTTTCCTCTCTTTAATATTATTTGGGAGTTTGTATGTGCTTTTATTCTTTGTCTCTGTATGTTTTATACATTGAGGACAATGTATGCTTTAGGTGTGGGGGAGGAGTTTGTGTGTTTCAAATTTGTCTTCATTAAATTGCTTACTTGAAAGAGTTAGACTTGTTTTTGATGAAAATTTTTCGTGAGTCTGAACCACTTTTTTCAACGTTTCAACTGTTATGTTGCTAATCATCATAGGTTGAAAAGTGAAGCATGAAAAACATAAATTTTTCTTTGCTATGTACTATTCAGATATGTTGTGAATTTAAGTGTTGAAGTGATGATTGGAATATTATCACAAAAAAGTTACTTTAAATTGAGTGATATGAGCTTTTCTGAGCAAATAGAGTTAGTGTATTTGAATGCTCAACATTTTTATGTGGGAAGTATATCATATCTAGTATAGATTAATCTTGAATTTGCCGAGCTAGGACGCATCTGTGCTCTTGTAGATGGCTTGCCACAAGAATAAAGGCACTAGGATTTAGCCAAGTTAGCTTAAAAAGCCTACCCATTTATGTTTACCCCTAGTGAACCATTCAAGCCTTGACCGTTTTTCTTTAGCTCCAGATACATTAAACCATTAGCCTTGTTTTTTTTTTTATCCATTACCCTTTTTTCAAGCTCTGGATTAGGTTGCTTAAACTGGGTTTGTGGTAAGAGTTGGACATTATAGTGGCATGTGTTCTTGTTTTAAGTTATGCATTTGATGTAATATAGGGCGTACGAAAAAAATAGAGAAAAATGCAAAAAAAAAAAAGGGTAAAAAATACCCGGAAAAAAAAAGAAGAAAAAAAAATCGCATGAATCCCTATTTTCTACTTGTTTGAGAGTATGGTAAGTTCTTAATTATATTTTTGAGATGCCATAGGTTTTTAAATGTAATATGAGAAGTTTACTGCAAGTTCTTATGCAAAGCACACTTGAACTCTGAAGTGTGAGGATGAGCAATGTCATTATATGGGATATATGGTAGGATGGTAGAGTTTAAGTATACTTGGTCTATCTTGACAAAATAAGCCTACATCCATAATTATCCACCCTTTTCTTTACCTAAAGCCCCATTACAACCCTATGTAAAGACCTTTATTGGTAAGTTTATTTTCTTGGTGTATGATGATGTGACGCCTTTTCAAATTCTTGTGTATTCTGCTAGATATTGATTTGTGTGAATTGTTTGATACGCCACACTTGAGAGAAAAGAAGAAAGAAAATGAGAGAACTTACTGGTGAGGTGATTTTGTTCCAATCATTGATGGAGTTTAGGGATGAAGCAACTATCTTGTTGACTATGCATAGTATTAGAGGAGCTTATGTTTGATTGCCTAATTAATTAAGTTTATGATTGATATGTGACATGGTGGTTGAGATTGTGTTTTAAATGATTTCTAAATTTTGTGGTTTAAAGTAGTGGTTTTAAAAGTTATTCTTTTTAAGTTTGCTTGAGGACAAGCAAAATCTAAGTGTGGGGGAGTTGATAATGTTAATATTAGCATGATATTTGTGGTGGTTTATGTGTTGTTTTGAATATTATCTATGCTAATATTAGTGTTTTTAATTCTTAATTTGATCATAGGAAGGATTTGGAACAAAAAGAAGAAAAGTGTTGATTTTGAAGAGATTTTGAAGGTTTTATTGAATCAAGTTTCAAGTTAGAGAAGAAGTGGTTAATTCCCGCGTGGGCACACAAAATCCATGCCAAAATCAATGAAGGAAGCAGGAAATTCCAGCAACAATGTTGTATTCCCGCGTGGGCACGCTGAAATAGGGACTAAAGTTCAAAATTTCCAAAGTTTTGGGGTCAATTTGTAATTTTGGAAACTTCAGGGATCAATTTGCAAATTTTGAAAACTTTAATTGGTCTCTGCGGATTTTGAAGAGGCTGAACGTGGGGATGCCCTAAATTTGCATATAAATAGTCTTTTTCTTATTATTAAGAAGATGGAGGAGAAGAGGCACAACACAGGGAGCAACAGCTGGAGCTCAGGACAAGGATTTCTCTCCGTTTTCGTCAGTTTTAGCTCTGTAATGTCAAACATCAATTCTTGTGTTGTTGATTTCACCATGATTAGCAACTAAACCTTTTTTTTCTAGTTAAAAGATTTTATTGAAGCCTTGATGTTATTCAATTGTGAGATCTAACTGTTTGCTTTTCACCAACGAATTTTGAGTATTTATTTATTCTCTTTGATGTGTATTGATGATTATTTGGCATTATTTGAATAGCTGGTAGCATTCAATTCTCCTAGATAATCTAATTTATTGAACAACAAGGTTTGTTTGTTCCTTAGAAGAGACAATGCAAATAATTACTTGGTAAGTAGTTTACTTGTGTTGTGAGAATAAATAATCAATTTTTAATGAAACAAGGTTTGTTTGTTAGAAATTGAATTGGGTCTTTGCTTGTCAAAAACTGAATCCTAGGAGGTTCCAGGTAGTGTGTTTTGGCTATAGAGTGATTAATGAAGGTTTCTTAGTCACTGGTAGTTAAATAAAAAGACTGAGTTGTTAGGAGGTTCCAATAACGATAACTAATATATTCATCATTTGTTGAGTTAATCTTTGCATCAATGATCAGTTAGATACATCAAGGTGGAAATTATTCCTTTGACTAGAGTTGCTCTTATTATTGATTTTTCAAAAGTATCTTTTATTGCTTGCAAATTATTTTTGTTATTCATTAGTTACAAATCCAAAATCTCTCCCATTTAGTTAACTTTCTTTTAATTAGAAATATTTTCACTTCCTTGCTCCTTAGGAGACGACTCTACTCATTGCTATACTACTAAATTTGTTAGGAATAGAATCTTTTATTTAGTGTATCATTCCGTCCAAGATGGAAAAAAGAGGGCCCGACGATTTGATATTGGGACTCTACTGTATGAGCCAAGCAGTATAACTGGTTACACTACCCAGACCTCCTATTGATTGTGATTTCAATTGGAGACCTTTCAATTAAGATAAGATGCATGAAGAAGGATGTGAGCTCGGATTAAGATAAAAGGACGTGATTTCCAGCTTACTACATTCAACAATATTTGATTTTACACATCAGGCAACTACATTGTCTTGTCGTTGAAACCAAAAGACATTTGAAGCCAACATGCCGGAGAATACATCAAACACTGGTACACTTCAAATATGGTATGGTAGAGGAAAGACAACCTTCCTCAAAATACAATCCAGGCATCCCTCCCCCAAAGCAACCAAAGCAGCACTCAACTAGTCATCCAAGCTATCCACACAAGTACAGAATGCATCCCCCTCTGTGCATACAAGTATATTCCAATCGATTCATGTTTTCCACTAATTGCAAAACAGCACACTGTAGAGTAACCACCACTTCAAGAACACACACCATTCCACTACACCATCACAAAAAAACTTTACATTATTGTCTACCACAATCAAAAGCAGCTGATGAATAATCAAAGATCAAATGACAAAAAGATACCAATCATTGTGAATTAAATAGTTCAATTACGCATTAAATAGCAGCAACGAGAATAGTTCAACAAAGAACAGACATTCTGTCATTTATTTATAACATTAAAAGCATAAAAAAGTCTCTAGAAATGTATATATAAATAGTTCAACACATCACCCACGCCACCCACTGGCAGCAACAGATTAAGGTGCTCCTTGGAACGGATTCCACCTTCAAGTTCTCCGCATCATCATATTAAAGGGGCTCGTTGAAGTCGCTTCATCTTTCAAGCACTTGTTGATGTATTCGCTGAAGGAGTTAAGTCCTAGTCTCTTACGGTAGCTGAAATACGGACTACAGCAAGGCAATATACACGGCTTCTTATCCCGTGTAAGAACTGGCTCACAATCACCGGGCAAGCAAAACCTCACTTCATTATGCTTCACGGATAGATTAATCTGCTTCGCCGTTAGAGCAAGATCAACACGACCACAACCCTCACCCTTCTGATCCTCCTCCTCCTTAACCTTGTCGTCCACATCCACGCCCTCAACCTCACCCTCATGATCCTTGTCCTCCTTCTGATCCTTCTCCTCCTCCTCCTTAACCTTGTCGTCCACATCCACGCCCTCAACCTCACCCTCATAATCCTTGTCCTCCTTCTGATCCTTCTCCTCCTCCTGAACCTTGTCCTCCACACGACCCACACCCACACCACCCGCCTTAGTGTCACTTTTACGATCCCTGTCCTCCTTCTGATCCTTGTCCTCCGCACTAATTCTCACACCTCTATTCAAACGCAAACTCCTTGCATAAGGACGCCAACTGAAAGGACCATATCTACAACGAAAAGGAGGGGGCTCACGAACAATACAGTAACCAACAAAGCTTTTCTCAATGTTGGGATCGTCAACTGAAGCAGCAGTGAAGGTAATATGATACTTTGTATGATAAAATGTAGCCTCAAAAGAAACGTTCTTAACATTCCTCCCATCATACCTATATTTCTGCAAACATCCATTCATACATTAGAAAGTTAGGTATTTCTGCAAACATCCATTCATACATTAGAAAGTTAATGATTACAGCAATACCAGTGTTATTGTAAAGTCTCAATGAGAATGAATAAATCAGGTTCAGGCAATAAAATAACAAAAAAAAAACGGACTACTGGCAAAAAAAAGCATCCTTAACTACAAATAGTACTTTTTTGAACCAAAGCATTGATCAATGCAGGGTAAATTTAATACTAAGGTACCTGCTCACGGTTGGAGTTGTACCAATGAATGCAATCCTGGATGAGCTCATTGATCTCAGCTCTGATTGTGAGGTTATCATCTTCTCTGAATTTACAAGGTAAGATTGGTGCATTGAGGTTATTATCAGGAACCCATTTGACGCCAAAACCCTAGAAGAAAGAACCTTCAATTAGCAATCATGTAAAAAGGAAAAGGGGTAAGAGTAATTAACATCATTATTAAAAGTAATAGAGTACAAACCCGGGTGTAGTGCATCATCTTGTAGTACTTTATCCATTTATCTATTTCAGATCCGGTATCCGACGGCATCTCCGACTCCGACAATCCCACATCAAATTTTGCCTTGATGGAGGCTGTCCTTACGGCTTCTTTCTTGTCGGCTTCTTCTTTCCTGCGTTCTAAATACACGAAATATTCTTCGCTCGTCAATCCCTCCATCGGTTCCGTTTTTGGTGGCTCGGCGGTTAATACCTTGACGACTCTCTCGACGGCGGCTAACTCGACGGTAGGTACGGCAGATGCTTTTTTAAGTACGGCCTCCAGGGCGGCTACCCGTTCCCTGTCTAATCGTTCGGCTAATCTAGCGGCTGCTAAATTGTCGGCTGCCGCGCTGGCGGCTATCTCGGCTTCGGCAACCGCAGCGGCCGATGCCTTGAGGATGGCGGACGCCTTGGCCAATGCTTCATCGACGAAGGCTGCCCTGGCGGCGGCGGCTTCTTTGTCCGATGCTTCATCGTCGACGTCTGCCTTGGCAGCGGCGGCTGCTTCGGCCGATGCTTCATCGTCGACGGTCGCCTCGTCGCGGGCTTTCTTAGGGTGGCAGATGTATTGGTGATGCAGACAGCCCCTCCATTCGGTAAAGCCGCAGTCAGGACAACGGATATCTTTATAGTGATAACTGATCTTACCTTTTCCTCGGGAAACCCTAATTTTAGATGTTTCGCCGGAATTTGACATCGAACGATGATATGATGAAATATAAGAACTTAAATTGGCACTGGCTTGTATTTACAGACCATGGATGAGCAAACAATGATCTTATGGTACCAAAAGTTGGGGCAAAAGCCCATTTGGAGTACAATTACGCTATAAGAATATTTCGGCCACGAGTCAGTTTCGAGGTGTATATAAATTTTTTTTTTTAAAAAAAAAAAACGGAAAGAAAGTTTCGATATTCTGTCATCGAAATATACTCTACGTCTACGATATGATATATGTAATTAATACCACGATTGTATTATTTTGTTATTTTTATGTATTTTGAGAGTTATCTTAAAATTTTGAAATTATTAGACTATTTTTATTAAAAACTAACGAAAATTCTTTTATGTTCAACGAAAATTAACCCAATTGGATGTCATTGACAAAAATTTCAAACAGACAAGACAAAATTATCCAATAAAAATTTAAGAAGGTAGAATTGACGATTAGGCCAACGTATAACCGTTGTTTTTTCCCATCAATGATGCAAAGAAACAATCAATGAAAATCACATCAATTCGTCTGAAATCGGAAAAATGCCGATCATTTCTAAAGTTTTGAGCTCATTGTCAAATTCTACACCACAGATTTTCGGTGAACCAAATTTGTCTTTAATATTTGTAATTTTTGCCAATTTCGTACCATTGACCCAATTTTTGTTGAACTTTTCGTTAATTTTTAACTAAAACGGACTTATAGTTTCAAAAAATTGTAAAAATAACACATAAAATATGTAAAAATAATTTTAAAAATTCCCTTTTGACTTTTTATTCATTTTTTATATTTATTCATTTGTCTTTATTACTTTTCATAACCATCAAAATACACCATTTGATCATAAAAAATAATTATTTGTTTCAAACTAAATTTTCACCTACAAAAAAACATGTGAGTTGGGTCCGAGAATAAATTTCTCTTTTTAAATTTTTTTAAATTTTTAAATTTTTTTTGTTTTATTATTTTTTTCTTATACTTATGATTTGTATATGTTGGTACAAATATTATTACTAAATTTTAATAATTCATTTACTTTTTTATTTCATCGATTACAAAAAAAATTTAGACTAAATAAACAAGAAAGAAAAAATCGAGTTCAAATAAGCATGAAATTAATATTTTATTGATATAAAATAAAAAGAAAAGGAAATCAAAAAAAATGCTAATATTCTTTCTTTCTTGATTTCTTATAATCCATAGGTAAGTTACAAAATATAAATTTTATTCAATTTAACCTAAAATAATTTTTTTTGTTCGTTGTAGTAAAAATAATATGGGAACTAGACAATTATTTGAAACAGGAAAAAGTGTTAATTTAATTAGTCAACAATGATAAATTTCTATAAATATGGTCAACACAATATTTTTATTCTTTTTTATTAATTACCATTCCTACTTTTCCAATGGCTAAACTATATAAGCAATCATTATATTTCATGACAACAATAAATAGGTGTATTATTTAACAGTCCTTTTTAAAAAATATTTTTTAACCCTCATTGTTGGAATACAAAAAGGTAAATTGTTTCTTGGAATTTAGTAATTATATTAGTACCAACATATACAAGTTAAGGAGTATAAGAAGAAATCATAAAAAAAAAATTTTAAAAATTAAATTTAAAAAAGTAATAAATTAAAATAAAAAACCACCCCTGGATCTGACTCGCATGTGTTGCATATGAAAAATAGATAATTTGAAAATAAATAATTTTTTTATAGATCACATAGTATATTTTGGTGGTTATGAATAGTAGTAGTAAGAAAAATAAAATAAAATAGAAAAAAAAATAAAAAGTGATTATTTTGTTATTTTTAAATTTTTGGTGTAATTTTTAAATTTTTTTGAAACTATTGGGGTATTTTTGTTAAAAAAAAAAAAACTAAAACAAATCCATTAACTTTAAGGAAAATTGAGCCAATTGGAAAAAACTGACTGAAATTTTAAATGTCACGAACGTATTGATTGTGCGGTAGTCAATAGCCTGCGGAACCATCATTTCAAAGAATCAAAAGTCATCCATGCTCCAAGAACAGCTTCAGATCACTACCCGCTCTTCATTTCTTTTCACACTGTAGATACCATCACTTCAATCCCTCAACCTTTCAGATATCTTAATGTGGGAAGCTCATGATAGTTGGAATTCTTGGTTGAGGAGCACTTGGAATCCCTTGCAGACTTACTAGCAAACCAGGATTTCTTGATCAACAAAATAGGTGATTGAAAATTTAACTATTTTAGAAGTCTACACAAAAGAAAAAACAAGTTGTTGGCAAGGCTGGGAGGTATCCAGAAAGCTCTAGCTACTTACCCGTCTACAACCTGACTGATCTTGAAAGAGAGTTACGTATAGATTATGAGCAGCTTGTAACACAGGAGGAGATGCTTAAGTCTCAAAACCGAAGGATTTTATGGCTTTCACAAGGAGACAAAAATTCAAGATCCTTTCATCTAGTCCACAGGCCCCTTAGGCCAAAAAGATAATGCAAAAGCCTCCAACTTGATGATGGAAGCTGGTGTACAAAACGTGAGACTCTGAACCGAGAAGCGACCAAGTATTTCACGAACATCTACTCCAATAATACAAACCCAGCCTTCAATCCTATCAAGGGAAATTTGAAAAGCTGGCCCAAAGAATACGTAATCTGCTTGCAGCAAACTTCTCAGATGAATTAAGAAGTGATCAAGATAGCCACTTTTGATATGGATTGTAACAAAGCAGGAGGCATAGATGGTTTCAATCCTAGTTTCTATCAGCATAACTGGGATATTGTTGGGCCCTCTTTTTGTGAAATGGTCAGGAAAGTTTTCAACGAAGGGGTAGTGGATCCTTCTCACAATAAGGGAATGGTGGTGCTTATTCCCTAAACTGCCAAGCCTGAAAGATTTCAGAGTTTTAGGTGTATCAATTTGATCAACGTCTTAACAAAGATTATATCAATATTCATCGCGAACCGTCTGAAGGAGGCTATGCCTACGCTCACCTTGCCCACTCAAACCAACTTCATAGTAGGGAGAAATATAGTTGAAAACATTACTACCACCCAAGAAGCCATCCACTCTATGGCTTCCTCAAAAGGCATGAAAGGTTAGATGGCCTTAAAGTTTGATCTTGTCAAGGCCTTTGATAAAATTAGTTGGTCCTTTATAGAAGATACCTTATACGATGCTGAAATGCCCCAATCCTTTCTAAGAATCATCATGAGCTATGATCTACATACAGGGATGACTCAAATTCTGTCAGACGGCATCATAGGAGAGGCTTTTCAACGTAACAGGGGAGTGCGCCAAGGAGACCCTCTCTCCATATATTTTTGTTTTATACATGGAACGAATATCTCATGCAACTAATTTAGAAGTTCAAAAAGGGACCTGGAAACTTATATTTTTTGTAACAAAAAATTTCTTTTGTCTCATCTACTTTTTGCCGATGATTTGATTTTATTTGCATAAGCTAACACGCAACAGGTTGGAATCATCTCCAAGACCTTGGATCTTTTCTGTAAGAGTTCAGGTCAAGCTATAAGCAAAGAAAAATTGGTGTTATACTGCTCCCCAAATGTGGATACAACACATGCTGCCTCCTTTAGTGCATCCTCGGGCATCCACCTAGTTAACAACTTAGAAACATACTTAGAGCTGGCAAGAATACCCACGGACTTACTACCCATCCAAATTCATTGGACTTTAGTCCATAAATGTCCATCCATTTAAAATGTTGGGCTTGGGTGGATCTGGATAAAAAATTATTTGGACGGGTATGGGTAGTCCACGGTTACCCATCAGGTAGTCTATTAGATTTTCAAACTATATAATCGTTATTTAAGTAGGTCATGACCCGACCCAACCCAACCCATTTAAGGAAGGGTCATATACGGGCTGGGTCATGACGAGTTGGCATGGGTTGTGAGTCAACTGGTTTACTATAAAATTTTTTACCCGCAAGTTAACCTATACATAAATTACTTTTTAATAATAGTATATTTTATAATTTAATGGACTTCAAAATTTTATATTTACGGCAAGTATAACTGGGTCAGTCCGTGGGTCGAACCGGTAACCAGATCATGATACATGAGTCGAATTTTTATTTTTTGTTCGAATAAATTTTACACTTGTATTTTCTAACTCCTTCAAGTTCAACTTTTACGTTTTGAGCCATATTAAACTAGGTCAATTCATGAGTCATCTCGGATCGATCCAATAACCAAACCAAGGTACATTAATCGAATTTTGATTTTAAAAAAATAAAGTACAACTATGGATTTTAACTTAGGAGACTAATAATTATATTTTTTACTAAGTTGTACCTGTCGACCCATGGATCGACCCATGAATCGAGTTGGGTCCATCCAGTAACCGGGTCAGGATATTTGGGTTGATTTTTTATTTTTGTTCAAAGAAACATATACACTTTATATTTTCTCACTCATTGAAATTTAATTTTCATGTTTCGAGCCATATTAAACTGGGTCGATCCACAGGTCATATTGGGTCGACTCAGTAACTGGACCACGGTACATGTATCGTATTTTGATTTTCTTAAAAACTAAAGTACAATAATGAATTTTAACATAAGAGACTAATAATTTTTATGTTTTCTATCACGTTTTACCGAGTCGACCAATGGATCAAACTAGGTCGACCCATGAATCGAACTGGGTCAACCCATTAACCGGGTCACGATAAGCGGGCGAATTTTTATTTTATTTTTTGTTCAAATAAAACTTATACTTGTATTTTTAAACTCGTTGAACTTCAAATTTTCACGTTTGAAGCAATAGTTAACTGGGTCAAGTTGGGTGGACCCAATAATCGAGCCACGATATATGGGTCTAATTTTATTTTTTTTTTGTTAAATAAAGTACAAACATGAATTTTAATATTGGACAATAATAAGTTTTATGTTTCACATCAAGTTTTAACGAGTAGATCCAATATCTGGGTCATATTTGAATTTTTGTTCAAATAAAATATACAC